TCGAAATTTTAGCGAAGTGGGCGTATTTTAAAGCTGAATTTGAAATCTTTAGCTCACACTAGAACATGGAAGTTTCCTGTGAAATTTCAGCTTCTTATTTTGTTTGATTACCGGAACTGTTTTTCCGCCAAAAATTTGCACTTTTCCTTTTCGGCTTCCGTTCGTGACATCCAAGCGTACGTGAAAGATAATTTTGGAACGTGAGGATCATGTACGGGATGAACATGTACTCCAAAAGTCTCAGTTTCCTACCTTCTCTGTTTGCTGAGTTGAAAGCGGGTGACAGGATGCGAGAACACACATACACATACCACCCCTTGCTAATATGCATTCGCATAAATACGCTAAATTGCATGAAAATTTTAGTGAGAGCTAAAAACAAAGCTTGTATAAGCTTGCTTAAAGTTGGTTTTAAAAGATTTTTGAGAAAATAAATTAAAATGTGCTCTGAGAATGTGCGTAAATTGTGCAGTGTAATCAAAAGATTAAGCAAACAGGGGAAGTGAACTGCTGACAACGAAACAGTGAAAATCAAAATTCTGAAAATGTCGCTTTTTGAACTTAATACACCGACTAAATTCAATGCACAGGTGTGTTTGTTCCTATGGAATCTAATTTCCTGGATAAATCGGAAATTAATTTCTTTTTTCGAGAAATTACTTTTCTGTAAGCAAAAAACAGAATTTCCTCCGGAACTCAAGAGTGTTTGGAATTTCGGTGGCATATCAGGATCTAAAACATTTCCACCCAATTGCCTCAGTGTTACTAAAGCGTATCAGTAATAACGGCCGACACACTTGGTTCTCAAGATGACATGAAAAACAGCAAAAGTGCGATAAGGATGCTACAGCTGGTAGAAGTGGCAGTTCCACGGGTTATTGCCATAGTAGTCATTGGCAAATCTGGCACAGTCGGTTCCGGTTTCGGTGAAAATTGTGCACGGATTTTTTCATGAGCCGATTGACTTCCCGTGCCAACAAATAGAGTCAGATGAAGCGCTTCGTCAGGCAATGTTTCAGCGATGCACACTTGCTCCGGTTTACCTTCCACTCCAGCGTAATATGCTACGCGACCGTCGGTCAGCATCTATAATGAGTCAGGATTCAACATTTCAACGATTTAGTTGTAGGACTCAAGACAGCAAAAAATTCAGACTCCCTTATGCCAGACACACAATCAGTTGCGTCTGAAGTTTAACAATTCCAAGTCCACTTTCTGCATCGTCAAGCAGATAGAAATTTCCTAGCTTCCTAATGCCTCCATGAATTTCATGACCCAATAAGTGATCTCAATCACCTTCTTTCTGGCCCAAAAAGTTTTCATGTCCTCGCTGTAGCGAATGGAACCATCTTTTGTAAATTGAGTAAGGGCTAAGAAGCATTTGGAGCGTTTATATCTGGATGAATGTCACTCAAATATCACTTACTGTCCAATGCTGCTAACTTATGCAGCGCACTCATTTTAACTGGTACTAGCTTTCGCGGGGATTCTCGACAATTTCGGTTCTTGGCGATTCTGCAGTACTGTCCTCAGTCTCCTCTCACGTACTACTGACAAATAACAAAAGGCATACTTTTTTAGCGAGAAAATAGTGGTTGCTGAATGAGAATGCGGAATAACTGCCTCGACTGAAATTGCTCAAATCGGTATGCGCTGGTTTGTACGTGAACACACCGTGGTCGCTGTGCACTCTTTGATAAGCCACCGTGCTCCTCAGCGTGTACATCAGCTAAAATTTCTGTTCTGCCGCTTCAGTTTACTGCAGCATTCCTCCATTACAGCCAACAAACTTAATCTCTTTCTCTCCTCTGCATGGAACACCAGACGTCATCTCCTGTGAAAATCAGGAGGAAGGGTGTCAGTTGGGATGAAGGTGGTGCATTATAGAGCCGCAATGACATCCAGGTGCATGATTACCGGTTTTTTGAATGAAGTCCGGTCGTCTTTTCGAATTGTAAAAAAAACCCAGGCTGGAACGCACTAGGCGAGCCGGTGCGATCATGCGTTTTTGCACCAGACTTGAAATAATTAGGTTAACTGCATGA